TATTGGTTTAACATATATTGCTATATTTGTGAAGTCATATGATGGAAATGGAGACATGAGATGCAGCATGCATATTATAAAAATAAAAAGTGAATCTGATTAAAATCGATCTCGTAGTCACTCCACGATATTTAAAACCGATATTAACAATTTGTATTTACAATTGCAAATATTAAGAAAAATTTGGAGGGTAATTAATTACTATTTACTCATGCAATAAAATACATTTAACTACTTTTTATTATTCAACAGGCAACACATCATGTAATGCGTAAAATGTAATAGTATTGTCTTTGTTCTTGACAAATATTTCTAATTGGAAAACAACAGACACTCAAATACATATCAACAATACATACAAATTAATATATCAATATGGTAATTTGAATGTAAAATTATATAGTATGTATATCAGTATGAATTAAACATTTTTTACATCTTGTAAATATTTATATCTTTCAGTCAATATTTTTCATGCTAGAAATTTTTTTTTTTTTTTTATTAATTTTTATTTTCAATAGCAATCAGAATACATAACTATTCTATGAGCTATTTGGCTTATGTCATTCACTCACACACATACACGCACACTTGCAAACACACATATAAATTTATCGGATCAATATTACAATCATATTCAGAGAATCACTTCAATAAATGATTCAATAATTCTGTTTATATAAGGTTGTGGTAGTTCTATGGTTCCTCCATATTATCTTCAGGCAGCTTCTTCTTCAGTCTTCTTGAAGTAGATGTCTCAAGAAGCTGAGTGACTATATTGTTTGAATGATGTTGTAGTTTTTGAAAGTGTTTTATACTGTTGATTTGTATTATTTTGTTTATAAAATCAATATGAAGATTGTCGTGTAAAGTTTTGTTACTAACAAACCACGGAGCATCAGTAATCTGCCTCAATATTTTCGATTGGGCACGTTGCATTAACGCTATATTGGATTTGCTTGCACAGCTCCACAATTCAATGCCATAAGTCCATATGGGTTTTATTATTGCCTTGTAAATTAGAAGTTTATTGTCAATCGACAAAATTGACTTGCGTCCCAGTAGCCAGTATAGTTCAGCGGTTCTAATTTTTATAGTCTTTAATTTGGCGCGAATATGGTCCTTCCACGTGAGCCTGCGATCTAAATGCATATCTAAGTATTTGACGCATTCGGTGCTTGGAATTGCTTGGCCATAAAAATGTACTCCTGGGCATGTTGTCTTGTTCAGTGTAAATGTTATATGACTAGACTTGCTCTCATTTATTTTTATTCTCCATTTTTTTGTCCACTCCTCTATAACATTTAGATGCCTTTGTAAAATTAGCGTAGCCTTAGATGCATCAGCATGTGTCGAAAGAATTGCTATGTCGTCAGCAAATGTAGCTGTTGTGGTTGATTGTAAAGTTGGAAAATCACTAGTGAAGAGGATATATAAAAATGGCGCTAAAACACTGCCTTGTGGAACTCCTGCCTCAATCTGATGAGATATTGAGGTTTCAGTGTTGACCCGTACTTTGAATTTCCTATTGGCGAGATAAGATTCTAGAATATTATAATAACCACATGGAAGTAGCGATCTAATCTTCAATAAAAGTCCCTTGTGCCACACCTTATCGAAAGCCTGGCTCACATCTAGAAAGACTGCAGAACAGAATTGTTTGGCCTCGAAAGTATTGCTGATGACTCTTACGATTCTGTGGCACTGTTGAATTGTGGAGTGTTGACTCCGAAAGCCAAACTGATGTTCTGGAAATATATTCGCGCTAGTTAAGATATGTTGAAGCAGGAGTTTTTCGAGCACTTTTGAAACAATTGGTAGAAGGTTGATTGGTCTATATGAGGTAACCATATAAGGATCTTTTCCGCTTTTATGGATCATTTTTACTACAGATGTTTTGTAGAGAGTTGGCCAATAATTTAATCTAATTATTGAGTTGAATATATACGTTAGAAGGATGAATCCCTTCTTTGGCAGTTCTTTCAACATTTTTGCCGTAACTAAATCGTAACCTGGAGATTAATTTTTTTTTAGTTTACTTATCTCTTCAATTATAATCTTTAATGAAAAGAACTTTATACTGTTCATTGAGTTGTGAGAAGGAATCATATTTGAGTTAAGGTCCGCTGCGTTAGAGTAATCTGGGTTCGGTTTGAAAACTGTACTTAAATAATGAGCAAATAAATTAGCTTTTTCTGCATCACTCCTAGCCCAAGATAGGTGATTGCTGTCATCCCATCTAACAGGCGGATTTTGAATACGTGGTTTTAATTTGTTTTTAATTGGTTTCCAGATTGAGTTATCAAATCTATTTAGGTTTGATACGTAATTGTTGAAGTTTTGGTTAGAAATTTCTTTCAATCTGGATTTTAGTTTATTGCTTAAGTTATTGTATATGTTCTTATCTGATGGAAAGTGAGTTGACTGCCATTTTCGTCTTGCTTTCCTTTTCTCTGAGATTAAATTTTTAATTTCAAAAGATAGAGGTTGATCCTGTTGAACTATTGTTTCTGGAGTAGCAAGTAAAGCAGCATCATGAAGTGTTTTATTAAATTTGTCAATAGCTGAGTCAACTTCCGATGAGTTCTTAAGACTAATTTTGAGATCAGTATTGTTTTCTATTTTGCAGCGGTATAGTTCCCAGTTTGTTTTTCTCGAATGAAGTCTATAAGGTTTACAAACATTGATAATTGAAGAACAGATAGTAGCAGTTATAGGTGAGTGATCTGAAGAGAGATCGTAGCTTGAATGAACTTCTGTGTACCTAGAGTTTAAGCCTTTCATTATGAAGAAATCCAATAAATCGGGCTTCTTCATTGGGTCAGTTGGCCAGTAAGTCGGAGTGCCCGTGGAAAGAGTACCATAGTTTTGTTGCACAATAACTTCATACAGTTTTCTTCCTTTTGGATTAATCAGTCTTGATCCCCAAAATGTGTGTTTACTGTTAAAATCTCCACCAACTATAAACTTATTTCCAAGAGATTCAAAGAATTCAGAAAATTGTATATTACTGATTGTATGACGTGGAGGACAATATACGGCAGAAATTGTTATTGCAAAAGATGACGTTTGTACTTTGATGGATGTTGCTTGCAAGTAATCTTTATTATATTTTTCAAGTTCATAGTGAGATATATTAGATTTTATTAATACAGCTGTACCCCCGTGAGCTGTGCCATCTGGATGATTAGTATGATATACACGATAATTAGGAATGAATAAGTTTGAATAATTAGTGAAATGAGTTTCACTTACCAGAAAAACATCTATTTTGTTTTCATTGAGGTATAATACTATTTCGTGTTTATGCTGCATAAGCCCGTTGGAGTTCCATAGTCCTACTCGTAAAAATTTGACCATACAGCTATTTAGTTTTGTTGATATTGATGAGGGTAGATAACATATTAATAATCATAGTATTATGTTGCATAAGTTGTTGAAACATATTTTTAAATTCTGTGAAGAATTGAGAAAATTCATTATTTGCATAGTTACTATTTTGTATATTTGAGTTTTCGCTTCTATTGGATTTGATGGCTTGAGAGTATGACATGTGCTCCGTGTTCGTTAGTCTACCAAATCGTTGAGGAGTGGCAGCAGTTTTGATGTTTATAGGAGAATTGTGTGATTGTTTTGACCCGTTTTTTGTTGTTGAAATCATTTTTAGATTTAGTTTGTAATAAATTCTTATAGGCAGAACAACCTTTGTAGTTTGCTGTGTGAGCTTCTTCACAGTTCACACAAAAAGCTGGGGATTCTTTCGATTTCGTACATCGTTTACTGTCATGTGGCAGTCCACATTTTACACAAATAAATGGACGATTGCAATACGTTTTTGTATGACCGTACATTTGGCATTTTGTGCACTGTGATATCACTGATGGTTTAAACGGAGTCTCAAAATGTATAATTTGGTTAAGTATCTTATTTATCTTAAAGATTTCTGAATTGTTTTTATTTGGTTCAAGATCAATGTAAAACATATTAAGAGGGGTCTTTTGCCTATAGCGTAATATATTTGTAATGTTCCTGACCTTATGCCCTTTGGTTTCAATTTCATTTTTCAATTCAGAAATATCTGTTGAATGGTGGATATACTTCAACACAACTCTATATGCCCTTTCAGTACTGACCTGGTATGTATGGAAAACTGCTTTCGTACTAGGTAGGAATTTTACTAGCTTTCTGTAGTCTTCAATATTTGAAACATTACATTTTATGTTATTGTTTGATAAAGTTTTTGTTGTATAATTTTTATTGCCTAAGAAATTATCGATAGTACTAGTCATACCTTTATAATCTGTAACTCCGTATATAATAATAGGAGGCGGAATAATTTTTTGATTGGTGTAGGACATTCTGGCTGAGCCTTCGGTTCCTCATTTGTTAATACTTCAAATCTGTTATTTAATTTAATCGGTTCGTCATTTTGGCGCTTTGGTCGTTTTCTTTTCGGGCTAGTAACAACTTGCCAAGGAGCAGAATTCCAAGAAGTAGACGCAGTTTGAGAATCTATATTATCCATGATCATAGGCTCATTGCTTGTCGATGGAATTTGATAATTACTATCCAATAGAATAGACGGTTTCATTTTACTTGCGTCTGTGATTTCAGTTTGATGGTTATTTGTTTTATTAAGTTTAATTTGTTCCGTGATGTATTGAGAACATGTTTGTGAATCATCATAGAGTATTCTATTCACATTTACGATGGGGATATCTGCAAAACCGTCCATCGTATCCCCCGAAGGGTGACACTAATTTGTCATTAAAATGACACTTCAATTTTGTGATTTACTTTGACGTTTGGCGTATTATATTTAATTTTGTATAGGATAAATATATAATTAAATATATAATTTATCAATGATTTTCACTAATTTAGTTAGTTTATTGGCTTAATTTTGTAATTGATTATATCAATATACGTAGTATTTACTTTTATTCAAAAATTTTTAACTTTATTGCCATGCTAGAAATTTCAATAATTTAAATAAATAATTAAACTTTTGGTTCATGAACTGTCATCAGATTTTCTGAAAAGAAAAAAAAATAATCATATTATTATATTCATATTATTATTTTGAAATATTGAAAATATATATATTGAAAAGTATTTAGTATACATATTGATTATTATATTAAAATTATATTGAAATATTAAATACTAAAGACTTACGTTTGATTTGTCATATACTATTATGTTGGTAATTTGAGTTTTTAAACAGCTCAAGAACTGACTGAAGTCGCGATAAAGTGTCAACACGTTTTATTAAAAAAATTAATAGGTATATTATATTTGCATAATGTTTATTTTAATGTTTTAAAACACCATTTTAATTGTTCTTTTGATAATTAAATACTTTAACTAGTGGTGTATGGCATCGTGCCTCAAGGAAAATTGCCGAAACTTCTCGTACCGTAACGAAATATTAAATGTTTTCAAATTGATTTCAATAAATACTGTAACATTGTCAAATATTTATAAGTCACCGTCGCAGTACTGTGCGCCAAACACAGGAGTTTTCTTATTAAAATCGATAATTATGGAAACATCGCAGAAACCATCGCCTTTTCTAATTTTGATACGTGCCTTTAAAATTCTTCTGTACTGGGCGTCGTCTCAGTCTCTTCGAATCGACATTGGTATTTCTAAGAGTTTTCCGTTTTCTATCTAGTTCTGTTATATTATCTGGGCAAATGTTTGGAAAATAATATAACAGTTCAGAAATTGATGTGAATTTTTTTCTCAAATCAGTACTCAAAATTACTGCAAATATTATAGTTCTTGTCGTTTTTTATAATGAAATAGAAACCTCTGCTTTATTTGGTTTGCTGCCTCAATATTAAACTCATCCTCATCTAATCTGTCAGTTTCTCTTTTCAACCGAATTATATTTGGAATCATTCCTCTAGCATATATTTCTAATGAAGGTTTATGCATTTGCAAATCGTTTACATCTACGCTTAATACCTTTTGCTGTTTGGCATTCGAAATATTTTCTATCGTATTCAACTCTTCGTTTGAAAGTTCCAAATATATCGGTTGAATGAAACATTCCAAAAACGTGCAACTTTGGTTTTACTGCCTGCATTTCTACATTCAAATTTACGAATATTGGTAGAGCAAATAGCAGGAATTCCAGATATAATTCTGTTGTCGAGATTAGAGATTATTATTATTAGAGAGATTAGAGATTGCTATTTATATATGATATATTGGCGAAACAGGACTAAAACTTCTTAAACGTTTGAAACAACACGACAAACGATGATCGCAGACGTTTAAAACATAACAACCATACGTTCAATTTTTTGACGCAAAGGTTTTTTTATCATGAGTCGAAAGTCTCACAAAGACGCTATGCGGAATCGATTTTTATTTTCTTAGCCAAACTCAGTATTAATAAGCGAACTGATACTTCCTTTCTCTACGAAAATTACCAATATGTTTTAAATGTTTCCCAATTTGTATCGAATACCTAACACCGCTCTATGCTTGATGTTACGCTCTTCAAGAAATTCATTTATAGATAACACAAACTTTTTAACAGTCATCTATCCAGATAATGAATAGAAAGAAAACTAAGATATGTTTCTTAAAATACATTTATTATTATTATTTATTCTTCAGTGGAAACAAAACACACAAGTAATTAATACGCAAAACGCAAACAAAAACATGTTTAGAAAGTGTTTCTTTGTAACAAAGCATGTTAGTGTAAAATAAATATGAGTTATACTTCGTAAAAGAATTAATTGGAACAGTAATAATTCGGAACATCATATCTTGTAGAATAACAATAATTAATTAGTACATTCCTGAAATAAATACTTCAATTATAAATATATCACAGCAATAATTACAGCAATATAGAACTATAATTAAATAACAAAAAGTTGCAAATGTTTTTATCAGAAGCGCGATTTTCGTTCCAAAACTTCATTATATGCAATTTGTTAATCCATAATGTTCGAGTTTTATGAGAGTAACAATTAACGATTTTAAGTGAAATGTAATTTTTGAGGAGGCGACAAATCATGTACCCAAATGTTAAATTACACATTTTTATTTAAAAGAAACTGAAAAGTTGTATGGAAAACAAAACCTGAAATATATTAACCAGTAAAATTTATTCAAATGTTAAATTTGAATAATATTGTATATCGATTTGATAGAGTTTTGCAAGGCAGACCACCACATAAAAAGCATAACTTTTTCTCGAAAATGGTTTGCGAGCGACAAATATTTCCTCATAGATAATTAATTATTGAATCGCCTAATTTCATGTGCTACTATATGAACGTATTGATTTTTATTTGTTCATGAGTTTCTTGTTAAGCGTAAATAAATCTAAAAATGAATTGTTAAATTAGTTCAAGTACAATTTGCCAAAGTGTTCAAATTATGGTTTGTATTGTTTATCGTAAAGTATCGGTAGTTTTCTCGAATTTTGATTTTCGTTTCGTGATGTGTGTGTGGTCTTTGAATATTTAAATTGTTAAAAAGCATGGGAATTGAAACAAAATTTTATTTGTTGAATGCAAACAACAAATTTGAAAATATTACTAACAGGAGATTTTATAGTGAAACGAATTTTAATGGACTAGTGAATTGAAGTGAAAACACTGTTATTAATTATACTACTGCAGTTATTTCAAAAATAGATACAATAATATTAATTTTAACAACAATTACTAATGAATGATGGATAATACTAATAAGGGCTAATAATATAGAAATATCACATTGCGATTTAATTTCAATTAGATAAAACAATTACGTATTACTGGAAATTACACAATTTAAATATTTAATCTGTTAAATTGTTTGACAGTAGTAAGCAAAGTGATTCATATTTATTATAAGGACACATTCATTTCAAGATGAAAGACGGTATAAAGCTGATGATACACAGCTTTGCTTCTACATGAAATGATATGAAAAATAAAAAAATGTCATGGAAGGAATCAATATTAATTCAAATATGTACATAATACGAGGATTTAGTGCGTAATGCAAGGTGTTTTCCGCACAATTTGAAATTAATATATATTGTATTGAATTATATATCAAATGAGATGTGATCAGAAACTTTATGGCTGAAGGTCATTAGAATTTTTCATTTGTTCATGAGTCACAAGTTCAGGTGCGATGAGGTAAAAAGAAATTTGATTTATAATGATCGCTATGATTGCAATGATTGCTACGATGTGCCTGACTATTTGACACATTTGTATATGTTATCTTGGCAAGCTTTCATTCCAGTCCAAGATATTCAAAGGTTCTCTCATTCCTAGTGATTATGAAATTAACCTTCAATCAGATGCTCTGTCTTTGTCGATTTGTCTAGGCGGTGCCTAGAATTTCAGTTCTTATGGTGAAGAATATATTTTTCATCGAACATCAGAAATTGTTTCCCTGCTTTGATCAATACAATATATCAAATGAAATGATAACCGAAGAAGGAATTTAAAACATCCAATGGTATTTTGAGGTATGAGGATAAAATATCATTACAATTAATAGTAGTATATCAAACGCATAAATTGATCGACCATCCATATATAATCAATCAGAAGGATATTTTTAATTTGTACGGACTTCTTAAATATGGATCAAATACAATTTATTGTCAAACAAAGGTATTTCAATACTTTCAGAAATTATTCAAGTTAGTGAAGATGGATTTGTCCAACTCAATTGTAATGATGATAAAAATTTTTGGACCTTCGCCTGACTTGCCTGATATCTGGTACAAGTTAATTTCAATCTTCAACAAATTACTCATTTGTATAATATAAAACGCCAAATTTGTGAAATTAAATTAACTTCGAAGGAAATTGAGAATATTATGCAGCATGGATGTTATGTAAAGAAAAAGTAATATTGAATAAAATCAATTCGTAATCACTCGACAATTGATAGCTGGAAGATAATTACTGATGCAATAAATTACATTTAACGAATTTTAAATATTTCAATAAGCAACACAATGTAACGCGTAAGATA